GAAATCGAGTAAGTTACTCTAGTATTTAGCGGTAGCTTATCTATATTTTCTTCTAAGAATATATTACTAAAATCTCGATATTCTTTCGATAAAGAAATCGCTATACTTTCGCTATTATTCTATAATTTCTCCTTAATAGAGTTACTATTAAACTTTAAGTCCTTTAAGTAGATAGTATAAATTCGATAGATTTTAGCTAGCTTTATTACCTTTCGAAAGGAAATAAGAGCTATATACGCTTCTCGTACTATACGGTAATACTATATATTTTCGCGCTAGCGAACTTCTAGATCTACTACGTAAAGCTAAATATACTTAAGAATTATATTAAAGTTATTAAGATTAGTAGCTAGAAACCTATAGATACTAGGAATATACGTTCCTAATATATTAGTCGTATATAGAGCTATATAGTAATCTTTATAGATTTAAATTAAGTAGTCGTCGATAGTATAAGTATACTCCTTCGATATCTTCGTAGCGAAGCCTTCCTCTATAATTACTCTCTATAATATAAAGTTTAGCTTCGCTTCGAAGTCGATTAGTACGTAAAGCGTACGCTTCTTACTACTAAACTTCGTATCTATAGTTACTACTAGTATTCGCGATAATATCGTACTATCCTCTAGTAGTCTTAATACGTTAGTAGCGCGTAGCGTACTAGGTATTAATTTTTTTATCTAGAGAAATTTACCCTTCTCCTAACTCTTATCTCTAGCTATATCGCTAGCTACCTTACTAGTATTCTATAGGTACTCTATTCTTATATATCTAGATTAGTTATAGTTTTAATATAGCCTATTACCGAAAGTAGGTCTATACTTCCTATTCTTTTCCTTCGACTTATCGTTATATAGGTAGAGTCCTAAGCGCTTCCTTTAAGGAGTTTTCGCGCTTAGCTTACTAGAAGAATACTTCGAGACTTCTCGTAGTTTAAGCCTTCTACTAGAGGTCCTTTAGAGCTTCTCCTAGCGCTATACCGCGCGTAGAATCTATTCTTTAAATTTAATATCGAGTAATTACTTTATTACCTCTAGCTAAATCTTAAGCTTTAATATAAGTAGTAGCTTCTAAGTATATATTTCGCGTTTAGATATCGATAGAATATTCGTTCGAATACGTATAAGCTCTTCTTATAGTTCTCGAACTATCTAGCTTTCGCCCTAGCGTTTCCGCTATAGGCGACTTAGTACGAATATTAGGCGATTCGCTAGGTCTTATACTAAATTTCGTAGAAAGTAGATAAAGTCTTTCTATATTAGGACGGCCTCTTCCCGGCGCGCCTATACTAAAGTAGTAGTATTAGTTAGGGACGTAGCCGCTAAGTTAATACGATTCGCGTCCGATAGTATCGTCGAACTCGGTAGTATAGAAAAACGAATCTACTAATAGGTATCGAACTTCTATAGACTAGCTAGCGAAGTATCTATATATCGGTATTTTAGACCGTAGCCTAGCGTAACTTAATTTACTATAGGAGCCTAGGGAGCCTAGAGCTACTTAGCGCTTATTCTATATTCTATAAGAATCTAGGGCTACTTAGCGCTTATTCTATATTCTATAAGAACTTATAGCTACTATTATATTTCCTAATTAAGTAATTTTTATATATAGATATATTAGTAAAT